CGCGGCGACGGCCCGCATCGGCGGCCCCGCGCCTGGCGCGGGCCGCACTCCGACCATCACGTGCCCCGAGCCTGCCGTGCTCACGGGGTGCCTAGCTAAAATGCACTTGGTGCGCACGATGGTGGCGGGGGCGGCCCGGCCTGCTAGGACGGGCTTTGAGGCTGGCGTGTTTGCAGCTGCGGGCGCAGCGGCTTGCGCTGCAGCGGCTCTGGCGTTCTTTGTGCTCCTGGCATTTGCCTGCTTGTGCGGCTGCTTCTGCGGCGGCGCCTGCGCGATGTCGACGGCGCGCATGCCTGCGGCGCGGCGGCTGCGGTCTCGTTGGTGTGCGCGCGTGGGCGGCGGCGGGGCGGCCGCGGCGCGCGTCCGGCGAATCGCGGCCCCGGCCGCCATCCGCGGCACGCTGGGGCGCGTGCGGCTGCGGGGCGTGTGCTAGGAACTCAGGCGGTCTGCGTGATTGCGTGCCCCTGCTTTCTGGGGGCTTGTGTGTGTACACAGGGGAGGGTTGGAGGCCGCGCACGCGGCCGGTATTTTTGAGGTGCATCGGTTCCAGTAGCCGCCCCAGCTGGCACGGCGGGGCCGAGGCAACGCGATTGTGACCGTTTGTCCGCGCTTGCAAGAAACGCAACATGCATACGCCTCACTGCTGCCGGGACGAAATGTCTCGCCTAGACTCAATGTGCTGGGGTTTACCAACCCTGGCCACTTTTTCCACTTCATCATGGGGCACGAACACAACCCAACGTCCTGGTGGCGCTTGCCAACACAGGCGAAGATGCTTTGTTCCCTCTTTAGGGTTGAGACTTTTGGTGCTTCTGGATCTAGATGCGGCTGGGCAGCAGCACTTGCTGCTACGTGCAGCGTGCCTGATTTTTCACTATCGGATGTCACTTATGATCCAACACACTTGGGAGGGGCACCTCTGCTTAATTTTTGCGCCCGCTGAACACAACTGTCCCTTCATCTTCCTCAAACTCAATCTAGCATCTGTGGCGGCAAGCCGTGTAACGCTCATGCCGCAATCACACGTGCAGTGCTACCCTGATCGCAGCGGCCGTATGTGGGGAACGAAATTTTGCCGTTGGTGTCAAGTTGGGGCAAAGGCGGCAGCACGACCACAGGTGCCTGCACAAGCGTGAAAGCAGCTGAGCAGCGGAACACATGCACAGAAGCCCCAGCACCTGCTGCAAACTTGTGAATACAGCAACTTCCTAAACTTCTTGTGAAATATCGGAACCTTCCCGTTGTGGGTCATAATCCTGCAGTGCACAGAAAGAAATTTGAAGAAACCGTCATCATCGCGAGCAATTGTACGGTATCGGCTTCTTGTGAGAGCGCTTTGCTTAGTTCGACATATTGTAAGATAATAGCAAAGTTCGAGTCTACCAACAGCGCAAATTTGCATTGCATCAGAGCGCAGCGCGCAGCCGCGCTCGTGCACAGCAGCAGTGCGCAGGCAGAGCGTGGGACCAAGCGCAAACACGACGCAGCTGCGAACAAGGATGGCACCTAGCACGAGCCGCACGACTGACATGCGGCCGCTGCCCAAGACTGTCGCCAACGAGCGCAACAAGCAGCAGCTGAACCTCATCGCCAACAACATCGGCGGCACAGCTGAGCAGCTCAAACGCCAACTGGCTCAAGTGGAGACCGGTGAGTTTTCTGGCATATGTATGTTCGTGCTCATGCGAATGTGCAGGCGTGCATGCAGGCATGCTTCCCAACCATTCTCAAATGCACGTGGCACGCTCACCAGTTTCGCAGTCCTGCGCCCCGACACGGGAGTGGGCGCAAATGCATGCGCCCGTGACGCACGCGCACACACACACACACACACACACACACACACACACACACACACACACACACACACACACACACACACACACACACACACACACACACACA